TAGATAGATACTATCTTTTATTGACACTATTTATTTTAACAATAAAGGGACACTTAAAATATTCTTTTGAAATTTGATCATCGTTGTTCAATGTTTTCAAGAAAATAACAGAAATTTAACAGAAATTTCTGTCCAAAGCCGCCCTTGGTAAGACCTTCGGGGAGGTTGCGGGGGCTTGGTTACGTTAAGGCTGTTTCAATGACTTATTTTTTGTATGAACAAATTAGCCTGAACATTACGGTTTGGTTTACTTCTTGATCAAAGTTTTTCTCCTTGAAAAATATTTCGTTTTTTAACCTTACGACCACAAATACCAACGATGCTACAAGCTCAACAAGGGCTAAGCATGATTAATACGATGAATTTGATGATGGGTCAAATTCAACAGAATCAGCAAAATTAGCTGTTGTAAAAAGGTCAGATCCACTTTATTTCTTCAGATAGACATTTTTGGAAATTAATAAAAATTTCACTCATTTTTCAAGGGAAATTAAGCATCGATGAGCATTTTTCCATTTGGCTGAGATCTTCCAAGGGCGATGAAGCAAAGAGAAAGGACTGATTCAGCGCCATCTCTGGCAGTTTTAGGCTAAATTTTATGTTTTCCTTGAAATACTCCTTTCTCACCTTTTTGCCAGGAACTCCAGCAGTCATATTAGTATCGCAGAATCCAGGGCAAGCGGAATTTATCAGAATATTTTTTCTCTCAGAAACCGACTTTTTGCCGTAGAGCCGGGGTTTGCGAAAATGGAAGAGCGCGGAAAGAATATGCACTCGGACGCCCCGTGTTTTTCCCGCCGCAGAAGAGGGTGCTCTAAACTTTTGGGGCGCAAAAAGAAGAGGGTTGGCGCGGCGTGAGCGAAGTATTCGAGCTCTCGCACGCCAAGCCCTCTTTCAATTCATCCCCGGCGATTGAGCAAATAAAAGGACTTTTTGACACGGATTAGAGCTGAAATCAAGGCAGGGTACGAAGGATAAAAAGGCCCGAAGAAAGTTTTCTTCCCCCTTTTTTACGAATTTGCCGCATTTTTTCCCCGCGGAGAAGAAAGCGGGCGCCCGAGCGCAAATTCTTTCCGCGCTCTTCCCCTTTTACGAACCCCTGCCGTAGAGCCGAACGAGATTGTTAACGAGTAGCTTCGACATGTCGTAACCTTAAAATATAACTGTATTTTCAACAAGTATTTCTTTAAAAACCGATCATCGACGTTTGTTCTGGACTTGGCCAACCATCAGTTTGAGCCTGAGATGGGTTTTTCTGATCTTCGATGAATCTTCTGGCAATAGTATCTAACTCGTCGAAAGTTGTTTTCGCGAGTGAACTTCTAAAGAAAAATAAATGGATAAGGTGATCAAAAACTTACGAAGATAGCTTTTGCCCATAATCAAAGACGTAATTTTCCTCAAAGATGTTCGGATTCGGGTTCAAATTGAGCATTCCTCGCAGTCCGAAAAAGCTGGAAAGGCAGACAATTCGAGCTCCCTCGCGAGCAAGAGGAAACAGTGATTTTAGAGCAGAAGAAATTCCAAAATAATTGACATCGATGGTCAATTTGATACTCTCAAATGATTTGTCGTTTATTTCTGGCGCAACACCTGCGTTCAAAACCAAAATATCAAAAGAAGACGGTCCCATCTTCTCTGCAAAATTCAGCACACTTTCTTCGTTGCTTATGTCTAGCTTTTCGACTTGCAATTTACCGCAATTCTCTATTTCCGGGAATCCTTCCGGGTTTCTCGCTGTCGCCACAATTTTTTTAACATCTTTCTCTCCAATTAAAAGTTTGACGCATTCAAGTCCGATTCCACGATTTCCGCCGACGACGATTGCAGTTTTCATTTCTTTGTATTTTTTACTTTTGGCTATTGAAAAAGCTCAAAAATCGATAAAATCGACGTTTGCCGTGCATCGAAGCTGGTTTACGTAATCATCAACATATAATAATCGTTAAAAAGTTGATTTCATCAAGAACAAATTTACTCGACGAGAGTTGAACAGTCGGGAAAATAGTTGATATAAGTTGTGGCTTGGAGTTTTTTGAAAAGCAGAATCGTTAAAAGCTCAAAACGCATCTTTTTGGAACTTGACTTTGAGAAGTGAGAATAAAGAGCTGGTTTAAAATTGCGTTAACATCGTTTCATGCATCAAATTTAATTGCAAATGTCAAGGACATATTTGAAAGTTTCGAGAGAGTTTTGACTGAAAATAACGAAATCGGTCGAAATGCACTTACAAGTTGGGGTTAACATTTCGTCCCTCAGTTTCCGATAAATTTCCAGAACTGCCATTTCGGTTTGAAGATCAAAAAAAAAATTATCCGAATGCGAGCTTGAAATTTCTTAGATACTTCTCAACCAATTATCGCCAAGCATCCAGAGAAAATAGTTTTTAAGGTGTTGAATTGAGTGTTGACTTCTGAGACGGAAGAACCTGTTTCTTCTATCTGTTTGATATTTTGTCCTGTAAAAAGTTTAAAAAGGTGACTCTCATTTAATAAAATTGATTTTAAAGCAAAACTCATAAGAAATGTAATAGAATTGATTTAAGTCGGCTAAGTTGAACTTTCTTCTATCCCAAGCTTTTTATGGCCAGTACAATCATTAAAAAGCCGGCTGCTTAATTTTTCGTAATTGACTTCGCCGAACGTACAAAAAATAAACTTTTTATCTGTAAGAGATACAAAATTTAAACTTATGTAAAAATGATTTGTGATAATTAATAAATGTTAAAATGAGCTTTATGCAAATTTTTGATGAAAAGTCAAATTTGTGTACGTAACGCCGACAAATGCTCGTTATACCGCCTCATTTTTCCAGATGTCAATATGTCTAATATTAAGATAAGCTACACATCGGGAAATATTAGTTTGACACATTTTCATAATGAGAATAAACGAAAATGAGAAGAATAGGATCTCTGTTATTTTCGTCGATAGAAGCAAAGCGAAATGAACACTACGGTATACTCTGATTTTTTGTCGCTTGGAAAGAACATCGAAGAGTTTGACCTGCGACACAATTTCGAGAATGTTGATAAATTTAGACCGCCATATAAGGTAACAGAAAAGATACTCACAAATCAGAAAAAAAAATTAACTCTTCCTAGTGAAAATCGTAGGCCAGACTTTGTCTAATAATGAATTCAGCTTTCTGTCGGAATTGTTGTTTTTGGAGTTATTTCAAATCTCAGGAACTGGTCCGATTTTTAGACAGAAATTTTTAATGATGGATTTTCGAGATCGCCCAAAAGTATTTTATACTTCATCTTCAAGGACAGTGGAGTCGTCAAAACAGCCCTTGCTCCGTATTATCTCAACAAGAGCAATCGCTCTCGAATGATCGATTTCAACTTCTTCTGGCTCTGCTCCTTCAGCCTCATGGATTTGCTAGCGCAATCGCTGCTCCTTGGCCAGACTTTTCGGGGCGATTCGTTTTCGGGGCGACTTGAAACTTGCCAGATTGCTTTGAGCCTCGCTCATTTTTCAAGAATAATGATCTCGATTCAAATATTTTTGATTGCTTGCTACAGACTCAATATTATGACGCAAGGACTGACGACGCGTAAACGAATGACGAAAAAGCTTATTGATCAAATTTTCTGCTTTCAGATCTTGGGTGGGCAAGTTTTACCCCTTCTCCAATTGATTCTAGCCCCCATCGGCAATGGGGCATTGCCTATCAACTTCGAAGATTTTTGTCCGCCTTAGGCTAGGGTTATCCTAACCCTAACCCTCACCCTAATCCTAGGGTAGCTCTAGAGTGACTTTTGCCCACCCTAAGTTAGGTGACCCTAGCCATGAATGGACTTTTGCCCACCCCAGGAGAGGGTAATCCTAGCCCTGAAATGACTCTAGCCCACCATAAGCTAGGACGACCCTAGTCCTAAAGTAACTTTTGCCCACCCTTGTTTTAGACTTATATCGCCATGATCATTGCAGGATACGAAGCCTATGAAGCTGGAAAATTCGGATCCAGAGGCTTTTTGACGAAATTGGTACATTCAGGGCAAAATCAAAAGCTCTCCTCGAAATCTTCCTCCGTTATTCGGAATATTATTCCGACACTCCTCGAAACCTCTCCAATGATGCGCTTTTTGACTCCTACTGCTGGCCAAATTCGAAGAAAGATCCTTTGGTTTTCCGAGACTCTGAATATCGATTCGCTTTCTATACGATTATTCTTCCAATAAGTGGGCTGATGCTTTGCTACTCGAAAATTGTTTTCATGGTCCGAAAGAGCTACAAACTAATCGGTAACTTTCTTTTCATTCTTTTTTTTGCAAAAATGATTTGAGATAATGCAACTCGATTGACGAGACAAAACAAGCAACGACTCGACGTTGTGCTAACAAAAAAGCTTGTGCTCGTTTTTCTGACTTATTCTTTTCTTTCCAGTTTTTCTTACCATCGGTGCTTTTCGACTGTTTCGAGTGGTCAGTGCCTCAAAAAGACAATCCAGCCAAAGCGATCAAAGACATCGTGCAGCTAAGCTTCTCAGTCCACTCCCCGTCAATTCATTCATGCTTATGATCTACTGATTACATTCGAGCACAACAAGCATATCAACTCATGCTTTTAAGCTTTTGCTAAAAACAGTAATAATATATAAGACGGGTCTTGGACCAAGACTCTTGGTTCTTGAAATCGCTTTGCAGCTGCACCGCCCCGGGAGCTCGCCTCGATCGAGCCCAAAAATTCGAGCGATCCCCCGGGGCTGCGCGCCCAGATTTGATGTTAGATTGGTCCGGAAGCAGCTGAACAGGTCTTTCTCGGAAATCACCGACGATCTTTTTTTCTGGACCATATTCCGGAAAACACTTTATATAAAAAATACTCGCCATCACCCAAGAAAATTTCTTGTATTTAAATTTTTCAAAAGGGACAACGTATTCGAAAGTTATTGGAAGAAAACGAAAAATGGCTGCGATAAGCATAGCTATTTTTAATTTTGCTCATAACTTTCGGTCCCTAAAGAATGCGCGTTTGAACAATTTGGGATGTGTTTCAGACCTTTTGAGTTGGTTTCTTGGGGTTTTTAGTCGGCTCTGGGTGCTTTTTTTCCTCTATTTTTGCTTCCGTTGTTTGGATTTTTAAGTCACATTGCTAGAAAAGATAATTAAAAACAACGAGAAAAGAAAAAGAACCGGAATCGACATATTCTTCTGAGGATGATAGACAGTGCAATGCTAAAAAGAAATAAAAATAGCGAAACATTTGGAAGCCTTACCAAATCGCCAACGAATCTGCTCCTTTCTCCAACAGAATGAACATGCTTGGCGCTTTTGAAATTGTTGCTTTCGACATATTCTCGCTCATTCGCTGAAAATTCCGATTAGATAATGAATTCATCCTTCTAGGGCGCGCCAATCCTCGAAAAAATTGGCCAGTGGAGGGTTGTTAAGGGCTTTCTTGGCCAATCAGCGGCCAGTATCTTTTGCGCCAGCGAATCATTGTAGAGAAAGCTCTAACCCTAACCCTAGCGCTAACTAAAATCCTAACCCTAACCTACCCCTCTCTTCGTCTTTTGCCCACCCTAGTCATCCTCATTCCCCGGAAAATAGATCTTTACCTCTTGGATTATGCAAGCCATAAGCGTAGCACTGACTATCGCCCCGACATGAGATGCCAAACGGATCTAGTAGTATTAATTTTAATCATGACAAGTGATTGATGAAGGCTGACTGTACTTGATTCGAATCGAATGTGCTGATTGTCGATGTTCGCTTTGCCCCACATAAATTGACCAGAAGGCTCGAACTTAAAAAAAGGCATTTTCTATCAGGATATCGTGTCCTCGAATTAATAATTGATCGAAACCGGCTCAATTATGAATTGACACCTAATACAAGCAGAATTAATGAAAGATAGAACAAACCAGGATGCAAGCAATACACCCCCGAATCAAGCAGCAAATGGTGCCAGCAATGCATGTTTTTGCCAGAATCTTCGAAAAGACTTTTTTGCGCTTTGGAGCGAGACCAGCCATGGTTCCCAGCATGATTCCCATGGTCTTTTGAGGGGATGAATGTACATTTTTTGGATGGACAAGGGTCAGTTCAACACATCCCGGAATATTCGCGAAACCGCAAAGTGCGTAAGTCATTATCGTCTCGGACAGCTCAGACAACCACATTTGATTGCCATCACAGTCGCACTTATTGGAGAAAAAGGTCAGCTCAGAACTCAATAAACAAAAGTTGATGATTACCTTATCTCGTCCAGACTCCCTGTAGCCCTTGGCCGTAGCCAGGGATTGAAAAGCCATAAATTCTGTGAAGAAAATTTTCTCCCCAAGCAATCGCGCGCAGAATTCAGCTTCAAAGCTTGGCACTCCTAATAAGAAAATCTTCGTCAAATCATCATGCCGCAATCCTACCCATGAGAAGAACAAAAGGGCGAAAAACAACTCCAAATATCTTTTCGAGCGTGATGCTTTCAATTTCAAACAAGCCACTTAGGAACACCACAATGTCGTTAAGACACTCGATCGCAGCCACGAAAACAATCAGCATAGCTAAAACTCTCATTAATTATCAAAAAAAAAAGATATATTTTATTACCAGTTATATTCGCGCAAACGGGAAAGGCATCCAATGCTCCTTGTACTGCGGCGCCAAGGAGATTTTGACCACCTTTGGTTTTCTCGTCCTCGGTCTTTTTCGTCGTCTTTAGAATTGGGCTTTGATAAAAAAATCCTAACTAAAAACTTACGAGTCTCGACGGCGTTACTTCTGGAAACATCAATTTGCCGACCATCAGTGATCCAGGAGCGGACATAAACGAGCTTGTTATCAATGCTCGAGCATCGATTCCGAGCTTCAAATACGCGCCAAGAACGGAACCAGCGATGGAAGAAAAGCCAGAGGTCATTACACAGAAGATTTCAGAGTAAGTCATGTGGTCTTTTTTCGGGTCGAAAAGAGTCGAAAATACACAATTCAAATTTTGCCAAACCCTTAATCTATGTAGGGCCTAATCAAAAGCGGCGACTCGGCGATGCCAACAAAGATGTTTCCAACGCAGGCGACAGCTTCTGATTGGGAGCAATTACAAGTTGCTGTCAACGCTACCGACAAAAGCTGAATGACGAAATCCATGATGCCGATGTGATAAAGCATTGAAATCAAGGAAGAAAAGAAGATGATGACGGGACAGACGCCAAAGACGAAATTTGTCAGGTCTCCTTTGTATCCTTTTAAACGATTTTGAAGGTTGTTTTTGGCGAAAAAATGCTCGATTGAGGTGTCAAAACCAACGATCCTGAGAACAAAAAGATTCCTCCTGCATCCGCGAATCGGAGAAGGGCCTTGATTGGCTTGCTGAAGAAAAAATTTTATGAGAAATATTGAAAATGAAAAACCAACCTGAAATTCTCGATGAAAACGAATCCAACTTCAGTTTTTATCACAAAAGCAGCGATGAAAAACTGCAGCAAAAAGCCCACCAAAATCGGTCGCCAAACGATTTTGATGATGGAAATGCACATTAGCATGGAAATAATCATATAAATCACCACTCCGAAGGAAGCGACAATGACATTGAATCTGTAGTCGCTTTTGTAAAGGCTTTCCGCGTAAATTGCGAGCATCAGAAAAAGACCACCAAAAGCCGAGATTTTCCTGACTTGCTTTTTGTCAATTCCATTGAGGGCAGTTTCGACCTTTTCTTTGTAAAGATCGTATGATTTGATAGCGAGAACGATCAAGTACAAGACGAGGAGAAAACTTGAAAAGAGAGATAAAAAAATTGAAGCTCGATTGAAATTTTCTAGAGCTTTTTCAACCCCTTTTCCTGGCTCGCTCGAAATCCGAGTAGTAAGCAAGTCCAATATACGCGCCGACCAGAATCATGATCGCTTTTGATGAATGTTTGTTCATCTCCATTATCTTCCCGATGAAATCCCTGATGACCTCTCTTGCTGCTAGAATTTTTGCAAAAACAGGATGAATACTCCTTTCTTGCTCTTCCTCCTCATCCCGAACTTGCGAATCAGTCTCCTCTTGAGTTAGCTCGAGTCGGCCAGTAATCGTGGCTTTTTCGCAATTAAATTCAGAGTTCTAGTGCTGACCTTACTTGTCTTTGTCCCCATGTTTTCAGGTTCATCTTCTTGGATCTCTTCGCTCATTATTTTATAATTCACAATTTTCTTGCTAGTGAAATCGTCGAATTCACTTGATTTTATCGATTTTAAAGCGTTGAAATGATTTACCCTTCTGTGTCATTTTGGAATCATAAACGAACATGCCCGAGGAAAATTTTGATTGGGATAGCGATTGGGAAGCGGCAAGTCAAAGTGACCTTCCCAATCGAGGATTCACCACTGTATTTTGATAATAAAGTCGGAGTCAAAGGTAAGGGAAACCAAGAAAAAAGATTTTTTGGCTCAAAATGCCGAGATGTTCGTTCATGAAGATTAGTTCTAGAAAAATATGTACCCAATTTTTTTGCGCGATCTGAAATAATAATTCTCGGAAGTCATAAGATTACATCAATTGATTTATGTTTTATTGCGATCTCGTTCAATAAAAATCTTACCAACTTCTTTTTTACTCTTATTCCGAACCAATTTCGGATAATTTCATCGATGAAGTGCTCGATTATAAGAACAGAGAAAATATGCACTGGCCATCGACTTCATAGGTAGAAATAAGATAGAACAAGAGGTTAAAATAAAGTTGATATAAGAAAGACTGCAAGTCAGTTAATTGTTCAGTCCGTTTCTGACAGACGAAGAAAACAGAAAAATCTACGGCAAGTGCAATCACTCTAACGGTCACGGTCATAATTACACCATTCAAGCAGTAATTGAGGTGAGCCACTCTTCCTTAGTTGATTTTCTCTGATTTCTAGGGCGAAATCATAAAAGACACGGGAATGGTGATGAACCTCGTCGATCTAAAACGGGCCATGTGGAAAGTGCTGTCTCAGCTCGATCACAAAAATGTGGATAAAGATGTCGAATACTTCAAAAACTTCCCATCTACCGCTGAAAATATTGCTCGGTGGATTTTCACCGAGCTTTCTCAAGAGCTACCGCCAGGCTCTTATCATCTCAAGAAAATCATACTCGACGAAACTGTTAAAAACCGCGTTGAAATCTATGATTAAGACCGGTAGTTTATGAATAAAAAGCCTTTTCTTTGATCGAATTTTAAACAGCATCTTTATTCAATAGATGAAATCAGGGCAATGAAGCCTTTTGAAAGCCTTTAAGGGGTGGTGGTCAAGAAATATTGATATTATTTTTATATTCTTCGTTAAAATAATCGTTTTTTTATGATCTTCACCTTTATCTTATAAATTCAACTTTGTACTGAAAAATTTTCAATCAAAAATTCGAAATTTGAGATTTTTTCGAAATTCTTAGTCTATGACTTCGCATTTTTGACAATGGAAAAGATATTTTTATTGCATATAAAAGCTTCTTAAGATCTTCTGAATAATAATTTATATTAAAACAAAAAACAACGATTTTCTGCGATTTTCGTAAAGATTTGCGTGAAAATTGAATTAAAATGTCGATTTTTCAGGAAGAAACATGTTTTCATTCAATTACTATTTTTTTCTAACGATGCGAACTTTATTAAACATAGCCGCCCACACGCTTAAGGGTTTAAACTTTCCTCTTATCTAGTTTTATTTAGAAAAAAAAAATGATAAGGGAATAGGCTATCCCGGATAGCGTTTTTAAGGTCAAGAGATCGGTCCACTTTGCTGCAATTTTTCACCGTTTTTCCGAAAAAATATCATTTTTAAACAGAGCTGCCCACATAGAATGGACCCTTTTTAACTTATTTACATTGAGAGAATAAAAGTTTTTTTCGAAAAAAAAATTGAGTTTTTTAGGTTGAAAAAAGTCTTAGTCTCGACCAACCCCCCTTTAACTACAATTGGGCCGTGAAAATAAATGTGGTAATATGATTCGAAGTTTTTAAGCTGGTAATCGCGTGTTTTTTTAACTGCATAAAATTATAAAATCTTGAAAGATCTAAGAAGAGTCTCTGATCAACAAAAGTTTTGAAAAATTCTGTCGATATTTAGTTTAACCAAATACGATTTGCATGATTTTAATATTAAACTAAGCCTATTTAACCCCTGCCCACATATCGACCTAGCCGTAGATAAATTCTAAAAACCTGAAAATGACAACAAAGGCAAGACAGGGCAACAGGCCCATCGAAAAAAAACAGTTTCAAGTCTCAATTATCTGAAAATGGCAACAAAGGCAACTAGGGCAACATCCCTTCACAAAAAAAAACAACGCTTGCTAGAGATTGAGGCGAGAGAAAAGAGAAAAAATGAGGTCTCTGTCAGATTTTGCAGGTCCGCAGCGTGCCTCGAATCGATCATTCTTTCTCCCATCAGACAACAGTATATATCTTGAAACAGTGAAATTAGCTGAATAATTAGTCCTCACTTTACTTCGGAAAGCTTATCATTACTCAACTAAGTCGCCAGATTGAATCTCTTTGAGCTTATTTTTGGGAGGAAAAAACGGGTGTGCGTCGATCCCTACGGTTAAAAATGACCCATTCCTAGGAGGTACACTACTCAGTAGGTAAAATTGAAGAAAACTCAATGGGTCGATATTAGACAAAAATATTTAAAAATTTCACTGACAGTGTAACGAGAAAAAGAAGAAGAAAAGAACTCTCGCTCTTGCTCAGAATTGTTTCTTAGGTAATGCTTAGGGCGGATGAGAGCCGGATGGTTTCGGACCGGGCGATGCTGGGCGGCGCAGGGCGGCACAATTCAGTACCCCCCGAACTTTTTTATTGAATTTTTGGACATAAAATTTTTGGACATTTTTGTTATCTTAAGGGAACTTGGCACACTTTTATACAGCGCTCATATTAAGTTTTGAAATTTTTTCCGCGCTAAAATTCTAATTTTCAGGTTTTTATCATGTACAGTTGGTGTCCTTATTTCCGGACAAATTTCGTCCTGATGCCTAAAAATCTGAAAAATGTCCTGTTATTTAGTATCCGGCAATTCGGAAACAACTGTATACAGATGTTTTCCCTCTTTTCTTATCAAAATCTTTCTTTGTCTTTAACAAAAATTAAGTTAAAGGCTGATCACGTATCCCAAGAATATTTTTGGCTTCGGAAAACGAAGTAAAAAGAGAATGATCTAGTTTTCTCTCAAAAAAAATTTTAAGCGATTTTGATGAGATATTTTTCTCAAGAGCATGTATCAAATTTTTGGACATTTTTAAGAAATCGTGGGACAAAACATGCCAAAAAATTTCATAATTATTTGTTATTTAGTTTGTCAATGGAAGCTGTTGATAAATGACGAGTTACAGCTAGTGCTTAACCTCTTCGTTTTTATTTGATACTGTTTGAGACCAGAAATTAGTAGTTAAAAAAATAACATCCAAACAAAGGTTTTAGAAATATCAAAATCATGACATTTACGTAATAAACATACATGATGCAAAACTAGACCTTGGCCGGCGAAGATTTGGAACCTCCCATCATTACTCCGCCCAACGACACGTGCGATAGTTAAATCGTCCAATTAACAGTCCAATAAATAAAATCAAAGTTCAAGATCAGGTGTCAGGTGGATACTCATTTTCTCACACGACTCATCGACTTTGACACTGGAATTTGAACTTTTTTTTTCCTAACTAAGTATTGTTTATTTTGCATCATTAAGAATTAAATCGTTTTTCAGTTAATTTCACAATCATATCCATTGTTTTCATGACCGGTACATGTTTTGGCTTGCTGCTTCTTCTCGCAGCATGTTTTTCGCGCTGCCTGAATCAAGCCGACTTTTGGGATGAATAAATGAAAGAGGCAAATTCCGCATATGACTGTGAATCCAATCGATACAGGCACAAAATCTCCATTTTCAACGCTATTGGAATCACCGAGAATAAGTCGAAAAAGTGGATCGATTAGCCACATGGCTATTAATGAAGGAGCCATAAGAATGCCATCTGGGCTCGGCAACCTGAGTACAGGGTCAGGCTCAGGGTCAGGGTTCGAAAATTTTTTCTCGAAATTTACTCAGGAACTCAGGTCAGGGTTTTTCACTCAGTCAGGTACTCAGGCAAACAGGTCAGGCCTGCTCAGACTCAGGTACTCAGGTCAGACTCAGGGGCCTGACTCAGGGTAAAACACAGGGTTTTTTCGACCAAGTTCACACTTTAAAATTATAACCTTTTCGTTTTGCCCAGATAACTTTCAACCTGACAGTCCTGTAATCGGAAAATCCCCCTAATGATGGAAAATCAGTGTAATTGGACCCCCCGACGTTGCTAATTGAGCCTTTTTAGTACTTTTTTAAGGTAACTCAGGCCCTATGTGAGCAACTCAGGCCTGTCTTTTAACTCAGGTCAGGGTCAGGCTCAGGGTTTTTTTTCTCGAGTCTCGATTTTACTCAGGCACACAGGTCAGGGCCTGTGTACTCAGTACTCAGGGGCCTGAGTCAGGGTTTTTCTCAGGTCAGGTTGCCGAGCCAAGAATGCCATAGAGTGTTGCATAATGTTGAGCGGGAAACATGGTTAATAAAAACTGAAAAATAAAATAGAATAGAAACTTAACTGAGGACTAACTAAATGCGGAGAAGCGTAAACAATTGTCTTTGCGATAGAAAAAATTATTATCAGCGCGTAAGCGTTTGCATTGTCGTCAAATGATTTCGCCTCAAAAAAGTCTTTTTTTGAATAAAAGTTTTTCTTACTTTATAAATCATCTGAGCAGAACAGATTGTGCAGGCGAAGCCAGAATATATCATGATTATAATAAGTGAAACCATTTCTCCATTAATTTTTCCGTTTCTGTTGATTTTTTTGCCGATCTTGCTGAGTACTTCTGGAAATGTGGCAAAAATTGGTGAAGCAAATAGAAGATAGCCGTAGATTTCGAGAAGATGACTAATATGAGATTTAAGTTCGGTCACATCAGCCGAATTTTTTGCGTATGACCATGTCAACCAAGCGTTGATCCACCCTTATAATGTTAAAAATTTAAAACCAAAAATGAACGTTACCTTGGATACTTTTTATTCTTGTCGAATAAATTGTAAAAACGACAGAAAAAATTAAGTAAATCGGATGAAAGACATTTTCTTTAATTGATTTTTCTTTTGAGTTTTTTGTCTTGTTTCTTTCTTCAGATGTTTCCTCAATTGTATTTGCTTGATCGTTAATATTTTTTAATCTGGATATAATGTTGACTTTTGAAAACTCGCAAATAGCCCAATCTGCTCCCGGAAAGTCGTAAGGCATGAGAAAACAGGTTCTTATAAGAGTCACAATTTTAAATTCATTTTATGAAATTGCGACTTTTCTGCTTATTTATTTTTTAATATGAATCACAAGAACCTTAATGTTAAAAGAAACTCCGGTCCTTATGTGAATAAAAATTGACAAAGCTGTGAGAATACCCATCATCATTGCAAGGTTTTCATTTAAAGAAGACGACAATTTGCTCATTATCAAAAATGTCGCCACAGATGCATCATAAGTACCGGAAAAAACAACAACAGAGGCACCTGCGTATTTCCCCATTATTGAAGCACAAAAAGTATTAAGAACCACATAGACAAGACCAGACCATGCAAAGAGAATGAATCCAGGGAAAAATAGAATCTCCGCGAAATTGTAAAGAGACATCAGTAGAAGACCTAGTTTGTAATGACAAAGAGTTTTTTGGAAGGTCAATGATACCCCGAAATCCCGATTATTTTGATATCAGCATTGTTCATTTTTTGATAAAGCAATGATAATAACGATTTAAATATCAAAAAAATTGGGGGGTACTGAATTGTGCCGCCCTGCGCCGCCCAGCGTCGCCCGGTCCGAAACCATCCGGCTCTCATTCGACCCAACTATGACCTAGGAAACTGTTCTGAACAAGAGCGAGAGTTGGGCCCCGCCAACGCAATGAGTTCTCTACCAGAAAATGCGCGCGTAAGGGCCTCTGGCCTGTCGCGTGCTCAATTAATTAGTGATTTTATGCCAAAATCTGAGTTTGGTTGCGAATTACTCTACTGGCACCCAAAATTATAGGATTGCTTTTTTTAATTTTCAGACAATATAAATATGTCAGAATAACTAACTTTTAATGAATATCTTAATAACCCGCTTTTGAAAGACATAATATCTTCGGCTCCGGCGAGACTGGGCGACGCTGGGCGGCGCAGGGCGGCGAAGGGCGGCGCAGGGCGGCACAATTCAGTGTCTCCCAAAAAATTTTATCTTTTTGTCGTTAGTTTTTTGTCGTATTATATAATATATAACTTATATTAGTTCATTAAATGAAAATAGACAATCCAGCCAAAGCGATCAAAGACATCGTGCAGCTAAGCGCTTCTCAGTCCACTCCCCGTCAATTCATTCATGCTTATGATCTACTGATTACATTCGAGCACAACAAGCATATCAACCCATGCTTTTAAGCTTTTGCTAAAAACAGTAATAATATAATAGACGGGTCTTGGACCAAGACTCTTGGTTCTTGAAATCGCTTTGCAGCTGCACCGCCCCGGGAGCTCGCCTCGATCAAGCCCAAAAATTCGAGCGATCCCCCGGGGCTGCATGCCCAGATTTGATGTTAGATTGGTCCGGAAGCAGCTGAACAGGTCTTTCTCGGAAATCACCGACGATCTTTCTTTCTTGACCATATTCCGGATAACACTTTATATAAAAATACTCGCCATCACCCGAGAAAATTACTTGTATTTAAATTTTTCAAAAGGGACAACGTATTCGAAAGTTATTGGAAGAAAGCGAAAAAGCGCTGCTATAAGCATACCTATTTTTAATTTTGCTCATAACTTTGGAAAAAATGTTCCAATTATATTTATTTTATATTTTTAAGAAAGTTCTACTGATGGCAAATAATTTTGCCATTGATCAATTTTCTTTAACTTCTTCAGTTTACTAGATTTTTATAAAAAACACACACCCTACAATCAAAAATTTAAAAAAATGACAAATCTGCTAATGAAATTGAAGTGTGATGAATATAAAAATTGTTTGCCATCACTAGAAAAATCTTTTAAAATAATAATCATAATGATTGAAGCACTATTTCAAAAGTAATGTCAAAAATACCTTAAAGGCTACTTATAGCAGGGCGATTTTGTTTTCTGGCAATAACTTTTGTTAAAATGCTCTGATTTCAAAAATTCAAAAACTAATAAATAAGTCTCATGAAGACAAAAAATTTTCGTCAAATCAGATTTTTCGTAGCTTGTACTATTTAGAATTTAACCGCGCTGCGCCGCAGGAATCAACAACGAAGCTTGCAGCTGTTACAGCTGCTTTTCTTATTTTACCTTATTAAGATACCACGCCGTGTATTATCCAGATTTTCGCGCTAGAATTTTTTCCCTCTAGCGCCTTGGTAGTATTTATAAACTCTCATTTTGAAATTTTTCCATCACAAAAAATGCCTGCAGCAGATAGGCCACGAAGAGGGCCTCAAGTTCGCGATATTTATGTTCCTGCTAATAACGAACCAAGGTACAATGCAGCTCAGTTACGACGAATGCGAAACGGAAGACAACAAGAACGACAACGAGAAAATCAAGCCCAGCGAACGAACAACCCAGAACGTCCAGAAGAAGTTATCGCCCGAATAACACGCGAAAATGCAAATAATCCCGCCAAAATCGCCAAGAAAATCAAAAAAACTTTAGCCCTCGTCATGAAAGGGCTTGGAAAACACGAACCTTCACTTCTGTCTCAGAAGCTCCCAATGCATCCTGATGAGTGGATCCCGGTCTTCAGAAGATTCACGGATGAACAATGGGGCGCCCATTTCAACCCGGATCATTTTGATTCTGTTGATGATCCAAGGTGAATTTTTAAGAAATCTTTAATTTTCAAAAACATCATTTTTAATTCTGAAACGATAATTTTTTATTTTCAGATTCGAATCCGCCGTCAAGAACTTCTTGTTCGTTGAAAGAACCGCTGATTTCGACAATGACTCCATCTTCATGGCCGAAAAATTCAAGCTGCCCAATCTTCTTGGAGAGGGAATGATCAAGGGACGACAAATTGCAACTCTCGCCGTCCCCGAATGGCAAGAGCACATTTCAGAAATTGAGCTGCGCCAGATTCTCAACGAATGTGTCGCCACAGCCATCATCACCGCCATCGTCAGCCGCTACGTCTGCCTCCACCCCAAATGCCGACTCCTCCTCAAGGACGACAAAGCCATTTTCCCCCACATCCGCGATTTTCATCCCGAGCAGCTGAAGGAAAACAGCGTTGGCCGCCGAAAGAGAAAAGCCGCCTGGAAGTACCGCTCATTAGACAACATGGATGACTGCCCAGCTGGCAAGAAATTCCTCTTTGGATTCAAGGACAAGGACTCCAACTTCTATGAAAAAGTTTCCACTTCCGAAACGACCGTTCTCTACACTTCTCGCCACATTAACGCTTCTCCAACCCAGTTCGAGCATCCTATTCCTGTTCACAACTTTCCCGCTCATTACGATTCTGACTCTGACTAAATATTCCCTAATTTCTGTAAATAAATGCAAAAAATTGAAAATAATGCCTTTTTATTTGCAAAAGAAAGCATCATAAAATTCAAAAAACCTCAGCCCCCTCGGCTCCTCCCTTTTTAGGGAGCAGCTGAGGGGGCTTTTTTGCGTTCGGTCAATTTTTTAAGTCGAAAAATCAACTGACAGAACGCAAAAAAGCCCCCTCCGCCACTCCCTAAAAAGGGAGCATCCGAGGGGGCTGAGGTTTTTTAGAGCATTCTTCCTTGATTTCAAATTCTCAAAGCCAATTTTCTTCCAGAAAACTTATTTTTTCTTAATTTTGACCCAAAATTCGATTTGAAACGATCTCGAAATCGGCCATTGTATCGTTTTGTATATCCAAGAAAAATGTTACCCTTCGCCGATTTCGCCTTGCAAAGTCCGAATTAATCCTTCGCCCGAGCGAGATTCGCTTTTTGCGTTTCGTAAGGGAGATCAGAAACGGGAAGGGAATTTCTTCTCACTTTCAAATCTTGAGTAAAACTTTGAAAATTCGCGAGAGCAGGGTCACGGCCGCTTTCACCGTGCATTATCAAGACGGAGGATAGCTGCTCAGTTTCCGTATGATAGTTTCCGTATGAATCCGTATCTACGCATTCAGAGGCACCTGCGTATTTCCCCATTATTGAAGCACAAAAAGCATTAAGAACCACATAGGCAAGACCAGACCATGCAAAGAGAATGAATCCAGGGGAAAAAAGAATCTCCGCGAAATTGTAAAGAGACATCAGTAGAAGACCTAGTTTTTAATGACAAAGAGTTTTTTGGAAGGTCAATGATACCCCGATTTCCCGATTATTTTGATATCAGCATTGTTCTTTTTATGATAAAGAAATGATAATAACGATTTAAATATCAAAAAAATTTTATCTTTTTTGTCGTATTATATAATATATAACTTATATTAGTTCATTAAATGAAAATATTCAGTATCTTTATATGTTTACTCTTCACAATTTAAGGAGGGGGTCGACGAGAATCGGAATTTCCGTGACCAAAAATGCGGAGAAACCTGCCTCGATAGTATAATTTTTATGTTTCGGGTGGTAAGAAAAGCGTTTGAAAAATCAAAAATGTTTACAAAACATCGGTCTAGTGTTCACGAATTTTGCATTTTTGCTTGGTAAGCTTTCATTTACTCCGATTTTTATCTGAAATTAATTTTTTTGGGCAATTTTGAGCTTCATTACGATGTTAACCAGGCCATAAACTTTCATTTAAGCATTTAATCAGCAAAATCTAAGATAAAAAATTTTCGTCCAAATTTGAGGCACTAGCATTTCCTATAGATTTTATATACTTTATGAACTTGAAGAATTCGATCCTTTGGCCAGAAAATGGTTTAAGGGGGTACCTTAACTCGACCTAGGTACCCTTAAAAACGCCACGCTCGCCGAATGGGTTAAGCGGTGTATTCCGGCGGGTTAGTGTTTAATCAAATATGAAATACAAGCTATCTAATAAAATAAGTTAATTTTTGATATATTTTGAAAAATGGTAAATTACAGATGTTTTTTAATCATTTGATTGAGGGAATCGGAGTAAGCCCAGGGATGTGGAGGGTCATCCGTATTCCGGTGGTAGTGATGGCAGTATGTAGTAGCAACATGTTACTTTATTTCCAACTCTTGACCATAAACCCCATTTATTGACCAAGGAAGAAAACCGACGTAATTTACACAAAAAAGGACCTTTTTTACATAGAATACAGACTTATTTTATACAGATCATAAACGGGAAGTATGCAATTAGCCTGGCCCCACGATTTTCCATTTTCTTATGTAAAATATGTCCGTTTTACTTGATAATACCCGGTCCGATCACATGCACTTACGGGCAAGGGGCGAGCATGGGAGGGGAGGGCGGGCGAAATCACGCACCAATCTTGCGGAAAGGTTTTTTCCCTCGAAACATATATAGATTATTTTTACTAACCAAAACTTGTTATCGAGCCATATATTATTCTTGTCCAAAACATCCCAATTCTTTTCAAAATTAGTCCAACTAAAAGTACTCCAATCGTCATCGAAATGATTGCGACAGTGAACATAGTGTTGTAAAATTTCAGCGCTTCATTGCAGAGAGACTTGTTGGGACTCCAAATATCGTCCGTTCTATTTGAACATATTGTCGAGTAAAAAATTCCCTGTGATTTAAGCTCATCTTCAATAAATGAAAATCCAAAAATAACACCTTAAAAAAAGATTAAAATTTTATATTTAACTTTTAATTTGTTAGGGCTTTCAAATTGAAAAGCAAATTTCCAATTTGAATTGGAAATGGATTGGTAATTGGCTGGATTGGAAAAAATGCGATTGGATTGGATTTTCAGTTGGTTCGTTTGACCAAAAATTTTTTCCAATTGTGAAACCATGATCCTTATTTTTACGAGCAATTATTCAGCTCCTAATTGATAAAAAAATCATCTAAATTTGTTCAATTAAAAATTTTATGAATCATTATTAAGGACCCACCCGTCATGATTTTAAAATATCGAAATTTAAAATTTTGACCTCGGATTCGGATTCCCTGTGCCGAAAAACCATTTTTTCGCGCCCTTAATAATCGAGTCAAAGTTTAAGAATTTGTAAGGGCGGTGCGACGCGCTTGGAAGCAAGTTTTTCACATAAAACATAAAAATCACGTTTTTTTTATTTATTTCATAAACGGAAAGTATTTTTTATCAGAAAATTTGTTGTAACAATTATTCATAGTGCACAATTAAAGAATTTTTTGCTGTTTTTATCAATTCTATATTAAAAAGAAAAAATCACTTTCGAGTGAACCCTTTACCATATCTTTATTTTTTTTCTGGTGCCCACGACATCAACCTGAGCTATATTTTGAGTCTTTAAAAATTTTTGATACTTAAGGTTATCCTAGAAATATCGATGTTTGAAACTTGAACGTATTTTTGCGACACCCTTAAGAAGTGCACAAGCGTGCTTTTACTTCTGGTGCCCTAGACCAATTATCGGGCTACACAATCACCTCGAAATCACTTTTTGAAAAAGTTATTCCCACATGACGGAGGGGTCCTTAATGATAAAAATCGAGCAAAAGAGTTAAAGCATTTACCGCGAATTTTTCAACTATTGAGCCCTTCATCTTGGTGTTCCATATCAAAGACTCCGAATGTTAAAATATTAATAAAATAAATTTAACAAACTATGAATAGAGATAATTACCTCCAAAAAGCATAATTTCAATCATCACTGATACAAACCAGATCAATTGTTTCATCATTTTAAGAAGAAAAATCTCCTTTCTCGTGAAATAAAAAAGGAAATCTCAATAATTCTATCCGTTTTTAATAAGCATTAAGCGTCGTTTTGGAAAGAAAGTCTGAATCAGAAGAGTCGGATTTTACGATTTTTTGATAACGACCATGAGAAATATCGCCCTGCTTATTATCAAAAAATGAGCAAGAATGTTTTGGCAACCGAAGTGATTTATAACAATTCAAAATATGAATAAACTCGGAGGCGCTATACATGAGAGTCATGATCATGCGAAATAATAAGATATAAAAAGAAGAACTCAAATCAAATTTTGCTAACATCTTTCTTAATCAAAAGATGTCCGACTCAAATCGAGATGTTGCGAACGCTTATAGAAATATCCTCAGAAATATCGGAGAAAATCCAGATCGAGAAGGATTGGTAAAAACACCAGCAAGAGCCGCAAAAGCGATGGAATTTTTCACCAAGGGGTACAAAGAAGACATAAACGATATCATGAATGAGGCGATTTTCACGGAAAAAAGTGAAGAAATGGTGATCGTCCGGGGGGAACGCTACTCTAAATTACCAATTGGTAATGCATTGCCAATTTGGATAATTCATTACCAATTTTAGGTAATGCATTACCAAACTTTCCGAAATTGGCCAATTTTGTCAAGTCAAAGAGCCAGTTCGCGCTCCGCGCCTGTTTGAAAGGATACTTTTGAGATTTATTTACAGTTTGTTTCCATTTTTCCGGAGTCCATTTTTCCGGACACTTTTCCGATTATAAAGCATTTAAGTGGGGCACTGCAGAATTGACCTTGGTCCAATTTTCCGGATATTTTTCAAATTTTATTTACAGACCATCATTTTTTTAATAAAAAATGGAGACCGATGACTAGGTTCGTGAGGACTAGGTTCGTGTGACTAGGTTCGTGGGTGCCATTTTGGAAAAAATGGTTCGTGTGACTAGGTTCGTGAAATTTTGATTTTTTTATGTATTTTTTGTATCTTCTCCATTTTAGGGGCAGTAAGGGAAATGGGTTGATGACTAGGTTCGTGTGACTAGGTTCGTGAAATTTTAAATAGAAAAATTTTGGGGCAGTAAGGGAAACGAACTGATGACTAGGTTCGTGTGACTAGGTTCGTGAAGACTAGGTTCGTGATGACTAGGTTCGTGTGACTAGGTTCGTGAAGACTAGGTTCCGGACATTTTTTGGAAATCTGGGGACAAAGCTAGTCCGGAAAAATGGAATCATACTGTACGTATTTTTAAGCAAAAAAATTGAAATTATTGAAAAAAATTGGTACCAATTTTTGGTAATGCAGTACCGAAAATCTTTGGTAATTTAGACGAGCGCCCCCGTCGTCCGGGACATTCGACTCTACAGTCTATGTGAACATCATCTTGTTCCGTTTTACGGAAAGGCGTATGTAGGGTACATTCCAAATGGAAAGATTATTGGTCTGAGGTAAGCCATTTATATGTATGTATTCTCATTTTTGTCATTTAAGCAAAATTGCAAGAATCGTTGACCATTTCGCGCGAAGACTCCAAGTCCAGGAGCGGCTAACTCGTCAGATAGCCGAGACTTTGGAGAAACAACTTTCTGCTCCTGGTGTTGCAGTTATGATCGAGTGCGAGTAAATATCAAATATGAGTTTTAACAGCGAGTTAAACCGCGTTCGAAATTGATTTTGTAGCATGCGTTTTGCAAAATTTCTTTTATTGCGGACATCTTTTAACCGATATTATAAGGCATATGTGTATGACAATGCGCGGCGTCGAAAAAGAGGGCTCGAAGACAGCGACATCCTGTATGCTTGGCTGCATAAAAGAAGATCAGAAATTACGCCAAGAATTTCTCTCGCTGGTGAAAAATAGATAGATACTGTCTTTTATTGACACGATTTTTTACAATAAAGGGACACTTAAAATATTCTTTTGAAATTTGATCATCGTTGTTCAATGTTTTCAAGAAAATTACAAAAATTTATAATTTATTTTTTCTTGAAATTTTAAGCTAGGGTAAATCCCTTATACCGTCATTTTCCATCTTAAGAGCGTTTTTCAGATGACAAGGGTAGACCAAAACGCTCTTAAAATGGAAAATTTACGATCAAACTAGGATGACAGTGGGAAAAAAATGATGAATGAAAATGCGTAAAAAGAATTTTTTCCAAAACTCTAAAAATGCATCTGAGGTCATTTTTACCTATTTATGATAAAAAAATTACGATCTTTGAATCAAAGGCTATGATTTCACCTGAAAAAAAGCGTAGAAAACAATTTTTTTCAATGATTTTTCAGGTTGAAATAAACGTTATTCTAATTATGAATTAAAAATTCCTTAAAACGCTCTAAAGTTGGGATTTTTTCAGATAACAAAATTTGGAAAATATTGGCAAAAACGCTCTTAAGTTGGGCGCTCCTAAGATGGAAAACCACGGTAATTGAGCAATTTTTAACCAGAGGGCAATCCTAAGAGTGTGGGTCTTTATCTTGAATTTGCTCTAAACTTTTGCACGCAACAGTGTTGGTTTTCTGAAAATTTAGACAGGGCATTGAAAATTCCAATTGACTCTGCCATTGCAAACAATTTTCGAATGGTACCACGGCCCAATAACTCGTTGTAACGAAAAATTTATTGAAAAAACGAATAATTTGTCGCAGTACTTTTCTTTTTGAGCTTAAATCAGGTCAGTAAATCATACAAAACAAAGTTTTTCAATCTCAATGGATACCAAATGAAGTAATTATGATATTATTTAGGTTTAAATACGATTGGTTAGGAAAAAGATAAGTGTTATGGATTAGGGTTAGGCAAAAGATCTTTCTGATCCAAGCCCTTGGTAAGACCTTCGGAGAGGTTGCGGGGGCTTGGTTACGTTAAGGCTGTTTCAATGACTTATTTTTTGAATCAACAACTTAGCCTGAACATAACGGTTTGGTTTACTACTTGATCAAAGTTTTTCACCTTGACAAATAATTCCTTCTTTAACCTAACGACCACAAATACCAACGATGCTACAAGCTCAACAAGGGCTAAGCATGATTAATACGATGAATTTGATGATGGGTCAAACTCAACAGAATCAGCAAAATTAGCTGTTATAAATAGGTCAGATCCACTTTATTTCTTCAGATAGACAATTTTGGAAATTAATAAAAATTTCACTCATTTTTCAAGGGAAATTAAGCATCGATGAGCATTTTTCCATTTGGCTGAGATCTTCCAAGGGCGATGAAGCAAAGAGAAAGGACTGATTCAGCGCCATCTCTGGCAGTTTTAGGCTAAATTTTATGTTTTCCTTGAAATACTCCTTTCTCACCTTTTTGCCAGGAACTCCAGCAGTCATATTAGTATCGCAGAATCCAGGGCAAGCGGAATTTATCAGAATATTTTTTTCTCTCAGAAACCGACTTTTTGCCGTAGAGCCGGGATTTGCCAAAATGGAAGAGCGCGGAAAGAATATGCACTCGGACGCCCCGTGTTTTTCCCGCCGCAGAAGAGGGTGGTCTAAACTTCAAATTTTTCATTTTAGGTCTTGAAGTGGAGATTTTCCCCGCCTTGGAGAAAAAGGCCCGAAGAAAGTTTTCTTCCCCCTTTTTTACGAATTTGCCGCATTTTTTCCCCGCGGAGAAGAAAGCGGGCGCCCGAGCGCAAATTCTTTCCGCGCTCTTCCCCTTTTACGAACCCCTGCCGTAGAGCCGAACGAGATTGTTAACGAGTAGCTTCGACATGTCGTAACCTTAAAATATAACTGTATTTTCAACAAGTATTTCTTTAAAAACCGATCATCGACGTTTGTTCTGCACTTGGCCAACCATCAGTTTGAGCCTGAGATGGGTTTTTCTGATCTTCGATGAATCTTCTGGCAATAGTATCTAATTCGTCGAAAGTTGTTTTCGCGAGTGAACTTCTATAGAAAAATAAATGGATAAGGTGATCAAAAACTTACGAAGATAGCTTTTGCCCATAATCAAAGACGTAATTTTCCTCAAAGATGTTCGGATTCGGGTTCAAATTGAGCATTCCTCGCAGTCCGAAAAAGCTGGAAAGGACGGTCCCATCTTCTCTGCAAAATTCAGCACACTTTCTTCGTTGCTTATGTCTAGCTTTTCGACTTGCAATTTACCGCAATTCTCTATTTCCGGGAATCCCTCCGGGTTTCTCGCTGTCGCCACAATTTTTTTAACATCTTTCTCTCCAATTAAAAGTTTGACGCATTCAAGTCCGATTCCACGATTTCCGCCGACGACGATTGCAGTTTTCATTTCTTTGTATTTTTTACTTTTGGCTATTGAAAAAGCTCAAAAATCGATGGGCGAAATGAGAGAAATATAAAAATAAAATCGACGTTTGCCGTGCATCGAAGCTGGTTTACGTAATCATCAACATAAAATAATCGTTAAAAAGTTGATTTCATCAACAACAAATTAACTCGACGAGAGTTGAACAGTCGGGAAAATAGTTGATATAAGTTGTGGCTTGGAGTTTTTTGAAAAGCAGAATCGTTAAAAGCTCGAAACGCATCTTTTTGGAACTTGACTTTGAGAAGTGAGAATAAAGAGCTGGTTTAAAATTGCGTTAACATCGTTTCATGCATCAAATTTAATTGCAAGTGTCAAGGACATATTTGAAAGTTTCGAGAGAGTTTTGACTGAAAATAACGAAATCGGTCGAAATGCACTTACAAGTTGGGGTTAACATTTCGTCCCTCGGTTTCCGATAAATTTCCAGAACTGCAATTTCGGTTTGAAGATCCAAAAAGATTATCCGAATGCTAGCCTGAAATTTCTTAGATACTTCTCAACCAATTATCGCCAATCATCCAGAGAAAATAGTGTTGAATTGAGTGTTGATTTCTGACACGGAAGAACCTGTTTCTTCTATCTGTTTGATATTTTGTCCTGTAAAAAGTTTTAAAAGATGACTCTAATTTAATAAAATTGATTTTAAAGCAAAACTCATAAGAAATGTAATAGAATTGATTAAAGTCGGCTAAGTTGAACTTTCTTCTATCCAAAGCTTTTTATGGCCAGTACAATCATTAAAAAGCCGGCTGCTTAATTTTTCGTAATTGACTTCGCCGATCGGGCAGACAAAAGTCGCGGGGACACTGCCTCAAATGCTAACAGGCATAACGTACAAAAAATAAACTTTTTATCTGTAAGAGATACAAAATTTAAAGTTATGTAAAAATGATTAATAAATGTTAAAATGAGCTTTATACAAATTTTTGATGAAAAGTCAAATTTGTGTACGTAACGCCGACAAATGCTCGTTATACCGCCTCATTTTTCCAGATGTCAATATGTCTAATATTAAGATAAGCTACACATCGGGAAATATTAGTTTGACACATTTTCATAATGAGAATAAACGAAAATGAGAAGAATAGGATCTCTGTTATTTTCGTCGATAGAAGCAAAGCGAAATGAACACTACGGTATACTCTGATTTTTTGTCGCTTGGAAAGAACATGGAAGAGTTTGACATGCGACACAATTTCGGGAATGTTGATAAATTTAAACCGCCATATAAGGTAACAGAAAAGATACTCACAAATCAGAAAAAAAATTAACTCTTCCTAGTGAAAATCGTAGGCCAGACTTTGTCTAATAATGAATTCAGCTTTCTGTCGGAATTGTTGTTTTTGGAGTTATTTCAAATCTCAGGAACTGGTCCGATTTTGAGACAGAAATTTTTAATGATGGATTTTCGAGATCACCCAAAAGTATTTTATACTTCATCTTCAAGGACAGTGGAGTCGTCAAAACAGCCCTTGCTCCGTATTATCTCAACAAGAGCAATCGCTCTCGAATGATCGATTTCAACTTCTTCTGGCTCTGCTCCTTCAGCCTCATGGATTTGTTAGCGCAATCGCTGCTCCTTGGCCAGACTTTTCGGGGCGATTCGTTTTCGGGACGACTGGAAACTTGTCAGATTGCTTTGAGCCTCGCTCATTTTTCAAGAATAATGATCTCGATTCAAATATTTTTGATTGCTTGCTACAGACTCAATATTATGACACAAGGACTGACGACGCGAAAACGAATGACGAAAAAGCTTATTGATCAAATTTTCTGTTTTCAGATCTTGGGTGGGTCTAGATCAGGTTAGGGGGGGTTAGATCAGGTCTAAACTTTAGAGTCTAAAGTGACTCTTGCCCGCCCTTAGCTTGGTGACCCAAGCCCTAGAGTGACTTTTGCCCACCCTTCGTTAGATGACCTTAGCCATGAAAGGACTTTTGCCCACCCTAGGCTAGGGTAACCCTCGCCCTGAAGTGCCTCTTGCCCACCATAGGCTAGGACGACCCTAGCCCTAAAGTAACTTTTGCCCACCCTTGTTTAAGACTTATGTCGCCATGCTCATAGCTGGATACGAGGCCTATGAAGCCGGCAAATTCGGATCCAGAGGCTTTTTCGACGAAATCGGTACCTTCAGAGCCAAGTCAAAAGCTCTCCTCGAAATCTTCCTCCGTTACTCGGAATATTATTCCAACACTCCTCGAAACCTCTCAAATGATGCGCTCTTTGACTCCTACTGCTGGCCGAATTCGAAGAAAGATCCTTTGGTTTTCCGAGACTCTGAATATCGATTCGCTTTCTATACGATTGTTCTTCCAATAAGTGGACTGATGCTGTGCTACTCGAAAATTGTTTTCATGGTCCGAAAGAGCTACAAACTAATCGGTAAATTTCTTTTCATTCTTTTTTTTTGCAAAAATGATTTGAGATAATGCAACTCGATTGACGAGACAAAACAAGCAACGACTCGACGTTGTGCTAACAAAAAAGCTTGTGCTCGTTTTTCTGACTTATGTTCTTACCATCGGTGCTTTTCGACTGTTTCGAGTGGTCAGTGCCTCAAAAAGACAATCCAGCCAAAGCGATCAAAGACATCATGCAGCTAAGCGCTTCTCAGTCCACTCCCCGTCAATTCATTCATGCTTATGATCTACTGATTACATTCGAGCACAACAAGCATATCAACTCATGCTTTTAAGCTTTTGCTAAAAACAGTAATAATATAATAGACGGGTCTTGGACCAAGACTCTTGGTTCTTGAAATCGCTTTGCAGCTGCACCGCCCGGGGAGCTCGCCTCGATCGAGCCCAAAAATTCGAGCGATCCCCCGGGGCTGCGCGCCCAGATTTGATGTTAGATTGGTTCGGAAGCAGCTGAACAGGTCTTTCTCGGAAATCACCGACGATCTTTTTTTCTGGACCATATTCCGGAAAACACTTTGTATAAAAAATACTCGCCATCACCCGAGAAAATTACTTGTATTTAAATTTTTCAAAAGGGACAACGTATTCGAAAGTTATTGGAAGAAAGCGAAAAAGCGCTGCTTTAACCATAGCTATTTCTAATTTTGCTCATTACTTTGGAAAAAATGATCCACTTATATTATTTTAATATTCTTAAGAAAGTTCTACTGATGGCAAATAATTTTGCCATTGATCAATTTTCATTAACTTCTTCAGTTTACTTAATTTTTACAAAAAACACACACCCTACAATCAAAAATTTAAAAAATGACAAATCTGTTAATGAAATTGAAGTGTAGTGAATATAAAAATTGTTTGCCATCATTAGAAAAATCTTTTAAAATTATAATGATAATGATTGAAGCACTATTTCAAAAGTTATCTCAAAATTACCTAAAAACCTGCTTATAGCAGGGCGATTTTGTTTTCTGGCAATAACTTTTGTTAAAATGCTCTGATTTCAAAAACTCAAAAATTAATAAATAAGTCTCATGAAGACAAAAAATTTTAGTCAAATGTGATTTTTCGTAGCTTGTACTATTTAGAATTTAACCGCGCTGCGCCGCAGGAATCAACAACGAAGCTTGCAGCTATTACAGCTGCTTTTCTTATTTTACCTTATAAAGATACCACGCCGTGTATTATCCAGATTTTCGCGCTAGAATTTTTACCCTCTAGCGCCTTGGTAGTATTTATAAACTCTCATTTTGAAATCTTTCCATCACAAAAATGCCTGCAGCAGATAGGCCACGAAGAGGGCCTCAAGCTCGCGATATTTATGTTCCTGCTAATAACGAACCAAGGTACAATGCAGCTCAGTTACGACGAATGCGAAACGGAAGACAACAAGAACGACAACGAGAAAATCAAGCCCAGCGAACGAACAACCCAGAACGTCCAGAAGAAGTTATCGCCCGAATAAGACGCGAAAATGCAAATAATCCCGCCAAAATCGCCAAGAAAATCAAAAAAACTTTAGCCCTCGTCATGAAAGGGCTTGGAAAACACGAACCTTCACTTCTGTCTCAGAAGCTCCCAATGCATCCTGATGAGTGGATCCCGGTCTTCAGAAGATTCACGGATGAACAATGGGGCGCCCATTTCAACCCGGATCATTTTGATTCTGTTGATGATCCAAGGTGAATTTTTAAGAAATCTTTAATTTTCAAAAACATCATTTTTAATTCTGAAACTATAATTTTTTATTTTCAGATTCGAATCCGCCGTCAAGAACTTCTTGTTCGTCGAAAGAACCGCTGATTTCGACAATGACTCCATCTTCATGGCCGAAAAATTCAAGCTGCCCAATCTTCTTGGAGAGGGAATGATCAAGGGACGACAAATTGCAACTCTCGCCGTCCCCGAATGGCAAGAGCACATTTCAGAAATTGAGCTGCGCCAGATTCTCAACGAATGTGTCGCCACAGCCATCATCACCGCCATCGTCAGCCGCTACGTCTGCCTCCACCCCAAATGCCGACTCCTCCTCAAGGACGACAAAGCCATTTTCCCTCACATCCGCTATTTTCATCCCGAGCAGTTGAAGGAAAACAGCGTTGGCCGCCGAAAGAGAAAAGCCGCCTGGAAGTACCGCTCATTAGACAACATGGATGACTGCCCCGCTGGCAAGAAATTCCTCTTTGGATTCAAGGACAAGGACTCCAACTTCTATGAAAAAGTTTCCACTTCCGAAACGACCGTTCTCTACACTTCTCGCCACATTAACGCTACTCCAACCCAGTTCGAGCATCCTATTCCTGTTCACAACTTTCCCGCTCATTACGATTCTGACTCTGACTAAATATTTCCTAATTTCTGTAAATAAATGCAAAAAATTGAAAATAATGCCTTTATATTTGCAAAAGAAAGCATCATAAAATTCAAAAAACCTCAGCCCCCTCGGCTCCTCCCTTTTTAGGGAGCAGCTGAGGGGGCTTTTTTGCGTTCGGTCAATTTTTTAAGTCGAAAAATCAACTGACAGAACGCAAAAAAGCCCCCTCCGCCACTCCCTGAAAAGGGAGCAGCCGAGGGGGCTGGGGTTTTTTAGAGCATTCTTCCTTGATTTAAAATTCTCAAAGCCAATTTTCCTCCAGAAAACTTATTTTTTCTTTATTTTGACCCAAAATTCGATTTGAAACGATCTCGAAATCGGCCATTGTATCGTTTTGTATATCCAAGAAAAATGTTACCCTTCGCCGATTTCGCCTTGCAAAGTCCGAATTCATCCTTCGCCCGAGCGAGATTCGCTTTTTGCGTTTCGTAAGGGAGATCAGAAACGGGAAGGGAATTTCTTCTCACTTTCAAATCTTGAGTTAAACTTTGAAAATTCGCGAGAGCAGGGTTACGGCCGTTTTCACCGTGCATTATCAAGACGGAGGATAGCTGCTCAGTTTCCGTATATACGCATTCATAATTGGGACAGGGACAACCGTTTGGGCAGTTTTCGTTGCAGGGGCAGTCGAGAATGTTCTGTGAGTATTCCCACGTACAGAGAGTGAGACAACTCGAGTTCCCGCCGCAGCTCCCGATGCATTGAACTCAATTTGAGCAGCTCTTGCTCAAGGTCCGCCAGGCATTTTATATGGTCCTCATTTTCTTCAGGAAAAGCACAAATGTCGCAAATATCAGCAGGACAATCCTCGCAGCCTGTAGGGCAATCAATGTGGCAAGGACATCCATCAATACAGTCAAATCCTTCCCGGACGCAGGAGTTTTCGCAAAGTGCATCCCCATTTTGACAATCGTTCAAGCATGCCAAAAGATCATCGCTACAGCTTGTTGAGCAGATTTCACCGAGATCAAGGTCCGTGCAAGTTTCGTTGAGCTTCGGAAGCTGGTCGAAAAAACTTTCTCTTGCGAAATTATCAAAAACGGGAAGAACCATTTTTTGCATTTTCTGAGGCGATTTCAAGCGATTCAATGCGGCAGCTGATTATTTCTCAGAATAAAAAAGAGACTTCAGTGAAATTTTAAACATTTATTTACTTATTCTTTGTTCAACTGAGGCAGGACAGTAGCAGGCTTCTTTTATTTCGAGCCTGTTAAAATTTATTAAGAATTTATGTACAGTTTTGTTTGATTGTTTTTTATTTATATATACCGTATATAATATACGTCCTTGGCTATCGTTTTTTGTTTTTTTTTTGTCTGGGCGTTTTGTCGTTGAGTAGCTACAGTATTTTCCGGATTGGACTATTTCGATTGATGATTTTTTGAGGATTTTTGGAGTTTCTTTTTGAACAAATCAGGTCTTTTTTAACTTAGATTTGAGGCATCAAGGCAATTCCATATTTTCGTTTATCAGGAATCAGTTTTGGTTAAGTTGAAAATAAATTTGTTGAACTTTTACTTGTATTGCGTTTTTGAGTGGACTTCTCAGCAGTTCTTCAGCTCTCGGTTGTGCGCTTCGATGGATTTTAAATTACTGTCGAAAAGATCGCGCCATTTTAGCGAGTTTGAATGGCGGTCGATTTTGAATTTTCTTCGCGAACCATGTCTAAATGGGAGTTTAGCCTTCCCATAAACGATTTTCCATTTTCTTATGTAAAATATGTCCTTGTTCTATGTAAAATGAGTCCGTTTTACTTGATAATACCCGGTCCGATCACATGCACTCACGGGCAAGGGGCGAGCATGGGAGGGGAGGGCGGGCGAAATCACGCACCAATCTTGCGGAAAGGTTTTTTTCCTCGAAACATATATAGATTATTTTTACTAACCAAAACTTGTTATCGAGCCATATATTATTCTTGTCCAAAACATACCAATTCTTTTCAAAATAAGTACTCCAATCGTCATCGAAATGATTGCGACAGTGAACATAGTGTTGTAAAATTTCAGCGCTTCATTGCAGAGAGACTTGTTGGGACTCCAAATATCGTCCGTTCTATTTGAACATATTGTCGAGTAAAAAATTCCCTGTGATTTAAGCTCATCTTCAATAAATGAAAATCCAAAAATAACACCTAAAAAAAAGATTTTAATTTTTTATTTAACTTCCCGATAAACAGGCGCCCGACGAAGCGCTCAAAAACAGGGTTGGGAGAGAGGGCCACCATGCATTTTCAGCCCCGCGCGCAGTGCGAGTAAAAGCTTGAAAGGCTTTAAGCTCTTATTTGCATAAGTTATAAAGTCTAAACGGTTATGCTGCATTTATAATTTGTTAGGGCTTTCAACTTGAAAAGCAAATTTCTAATTTGAATTGGAAATGGATTGGTAATTGGCTGGATTGGAAAAAATGCGATTGGATTGGATTGTCAGTTGGTTCGATTGACCAAAAATTTTTTTCCAATTGTGCAACCATGATCCTTATTTTTACGAGCAATTATTCAGCTCCTAATTGATGAAAAAATCATTTAAATTTGTTCAATTAAAAATTTTATGAATCATTATTAAGGACCCACCCGTCAAGATTTTAAATATCGAAATTTAAAATTTTGACCTCGGATTCGGATTCCCTGTGCCGAAAAACCATTTTTTCGCGCCATTTAATATCCGCCTATCTCCACTCTATCACCCTTAATAATCGAGTCAAAGTTTAAGAATTTGTAAGGGCGGTGCGACGCGCTATTTTCAACAAGTATTTCTTAAAAAACCGATCATCGACGTTTGTTCTGGACTTGGCCAACCATCAGTTTGAGCCTGAGATGGGTTTTTCTGATCTTCGATGAATCTTCTGGCAATAGTATCTAACTCGTCGAAAGTTGTTTTCGCGAGTGAACTTCTAAAGAAAAATTAATGGATAAGGTGATCAAAAACTTACGAAGATAGCTTTTGCCCATAATCAAAGACGTAATTCTCCTCAAAGATGTTCGGATTCGGGTTCAAATTGAGCATTCCTCGCAGTCCGAAAAAGCTGGAAAGGCAGACAATTCGAGCTCCCTCGCGAGCAAGAGGAAACAGTGATTTTAGAGCAGAAGAAATTCCAAAATAATTGACATCGATGGTCAATTTGATACTCTCAAATGATTTGTCATTTATTTCTGGCGCAACACCTGCGTTCAAAACCAAAATATCAAAAGAAGACGGTCCCATCTTCTCTGCAAAATTCAGCACACTTTCTTCGTTGCTTATGTCTAGCCTTTCGACTTGCAATTTTCCGCAATTCTCTATTTCCGGGAATCCTTCCGGGTTTCTCGCTGTCGCCACAATTTTTTTAACATCTTTCTCTCCAATTAAAAGTTTGACGCATTCAAGTCCGATTCCACGATTTCCGCCGACGACGATTGCAGTTTTCATTTCTTTGTATTTTTTACTTTTGGCTATTGAAAAAGCTCAAAAATCGATGGGCGAAATGAGAGAAATATAAAAATAAAATCGACGTTTGCCGTGCATCGAAGCTGGTTTACGTAATCATCAACATAAAATAATCGTTAAAAAGTTGATTTCATCGAGAACAAATTTACTCGACGAGAGTTGAACAGTCGGGAAAATAGTTGATATAAGTTGTGGCTTGGAGTTTTTTGAAAAGCAGAATCGTTAAAAGCTCAAAACGCATCTTTTTGGAACTTGACTTTGGGAAGTGAGAATAAAGAGCTGGTTTAAAATTGCGTTAACATCGTTTCATGCATCAAATTTAATTGCAAGTGTCAAGGACATATTTGAAAGTTTCGAGAGAGTTTTGACTGAAAATAACGAAATCGGTCGAAATGCACTTACAAGTTGGGGTTAACATTTCGTCCCTCGGTTTCCGATAAATTTCCAGAACTGCAATTTCGGTTTGAAGATCCAAAAAGATTATCCGAATGCTAGCCTGAAATTTCTTAGATACTTCTCAACCAATTATCGCCAATCATCCAGAGAAAATAGTGTTGAATTGAGTGTTGATTTCTGACACGGAAGAACCTGTTTCTTCTATCTGTTTGATATTTTGTCCTGTAAAAAGTTTTAAAAAGATGACTCTAATTTAATAAAATTGATTTTAAAGCAAAACTCATAAGAAATGTAATAGAATTGATTAAAGTCGGCTAAGTTGAACTTTCTTCTATCCAAAGCTTTTTATGGCCAGTACAATCATTAAAAAGCCGGCTGCTTAATTTTTCGTAATTGACTTCGCCGATCGGGCAGACAAAAGTCGCGGGGACACTGCCTCAAATGCTAACAGGCATAACGTACAAAAAATAAACTTTTTATCTGTAAGAGATACAAAATTTAAAGTTATGTAAAAATGATTAATAAATGTTAAAATGAGCTTTATACAAATTTTTGATGAAAAGTCAAATTTGTGTACGTAACGCCGACAAATGCTCGTTATACCGCCTCATTTTTCCAGATGTCAATATGTCTAATATTAAGATAAGCTACACATCGGGAAATATTAGTTTGACACATTTTCATAATGAGAATAAACGAAAATGAGAAGAATAGGATCTCTGTTATTTTCGTCGATAGAAGCAAAGCGAAATGAACACTACGGTATACTCTGATTTTTTGTCGCTTGGAAAGAACATGGAAGAGTTTGACATGCGACACAATTTCGGGAATGTTGATAAATTTAAACCGCCATATAAGGTAACAGAAAAGATACTCACAAATCAGAAAAAAAATTAACTCTTCCTAGTGAAAATCGTAGGCCAGACTTTGTCTAATAATGAATTCAGCTTTCTGTCGGAATTGTTGTTTTTGGAGTTATTTCAAATCTCAGGAACTGGTCCGATTTTGAGACAGAAATTTTTAATGATGGATTTTCGAGATCACCCAAAAGTATTTTATACTTCATCTTCAAGGACAGTGGAGTCGTCAAAACAGCCCTTGCTCCGTATTATCTCAACAAGAGCAATCGCTCTCGAATGATCGATTTCAACTTCTTCTGGCTCTGCTCCTTCAGCCTCATGGATTTGTTAGCGCAATCGCTGCTCCTTGGCCAGACTTTTCGGGGCGATTCGTTTTCGGGACGACTGGAAACTTGTCAGATTGCTTTGAGCCTCGCTCATTTTTCAAGAATAATGATCTCGATTCAAATATTTTTGATTGCTTGCTACAGACTCAATATTATGACACAAGGACTGACGACGCGAAAACGAATGACGAAAAAGCTTATTGATCAAATTTTCTGTTTTCAGATCTTGGGTGGGTCTAGATCAGGTTAGGGGGGGTTAGATCAGGTCTAAACTTTAGAGTCTAAAGTGACTCTTGCCCGCCCTTAGCTTGGTGACCCAAGCCCTAGAGTGACTTTTGCCCACCCTTCGTTAGATGACCTTAGCCATGAAAGGACTTTTGCCCACCCTAGGCTAGGGTAACCCTCGCCCTGAAGTGCCTCTTGCCCACCATAGGCTAGGACGACCCTAGCCCTAAAGTAACTTTTGCCCACCCTTGTTTAAGACTTATGTCGCCATGCTCATAGCTGGATACGAGGCCTATGAAGCCGGCAAATTCGGATCCAGAGGCTTTTTCGACGAAATCGGTACCTTCAGAGCCAAGTCAAAAGCTCCAAAAACATCATTTTTAATTCTGAAACTATAATTTTTTATTTTCAGATTCGAATCCGCCGTCAAGAACTTCTTGTTCGTCGAAAGAACCGCTGATTTCGACAATGACTCCATCTTCATGGCCGAAAAATTCAAGCTGCCCAATCTTCTTGGAGAGGGAATGATCAAGGGACGACAAATTGCAACTCTCGCCGTCCCCGAATGGCAAGAGCACATTTCAGAAATTGAGCTGCGCCAGATTCTCAACGAATGTGTCGCCACAGCCATCATCACCGCCATCGTCAGCCGCTACGTCTGCCTCCACCCCAAATGCCGACTCCTCCTCAAGGACGACAAAGCCATTTTCCCTCACATCCGCTATTTTCATCCCGAGCAGTTGAAGGAAAACAGCGTTGGCCGCCGAAAGAGAAAAGCCGCCTGGAAGTACCGCTCATTAGACAACATGGATGACTGCCCCGCTGGCAAGAAATTCCTCTTTGGATTCAAGGACAAGGACTCCAACTTCTATGAAAAAGTTTCCACTTCCGAAACGACCGTTCTCTACACTTCTCGCCACATTAACGCTACTCCAACCCAGTTCGAGCATCCTATTCCTGTTCACAACTTTCCCGCTCATTACGATTCTGACTCTGACTAAATATTTCCTAATTTCTGTAAATAAATGCAAAAAATTGAAAATAATGCCTTTATATTTGCAAAAGAAAGCATCATAAAATTCAAAAAACCTCAGCCCCCTCGGCTCCTCCCTTTTTAGGGAGCAGCTGAGGGGGCTTTTTTGCGTTCGGTCAATTTTTTAAGTCGAAAAATCAACTGACAGAACGCAAAAAAGCCCCCTCCGCCACTCCCTGAAAAGGGAGCAGCCGAGGGGGCTGGGGTTTTTTAGAGCATTCTTCCTTGATTTAAAATTCTCAAAGCCAATTTTCCTCCAGAAAACTTATTTTTTCTTTATTTTGACCCAAAATTCGATTTGAAACGATCTCGAAATCGGCCATTGTATCGTTTTGTATATCCAAGAAAAATGTTACCCTTCGCCGATTTCGCCTTGCAAAGTCCGAATTCATCCTTCGCCCGAGCGAGATTCGCTTTTTGCGTTTCGTAAGGGAGATCAGAAACGGGAAGGGAATTTCTTCTCACTTTCAAATCTTGAGTTAAACTTTGAAAATTCGCGAGAGCAGGGTTACGGCCGTTTTCACCGTGCATTATCAAGACGGAGGATAGCTGCTCAGTTTCCGTATATACGCATTCATAATTGGGACAGGGACAACCGTTTGGGCAGTTTTCGTTGCAGGGGCAGTCGAGAATGTTCTGTGAGTATTCCCACGTACAGAGAGTGAGACAACTCGAGTTCCCGCCGCAGCTCCCGATGCATTGAACTCAATTTGAGCAGCTCTTGCTCAAGGTCCGCCAGGCATTTTATATGGTCCTCATTTTCTTCAGGAAAAGCACAAATGTCGCAAATATCAGCAGGACAATCCTCGCAGCCTGTAGGGCAATCAATGTGGCAAGGACATCCATCAATACAGTCAAATCCTTCCCGGACGCAGGAGTTTTCGCAAAGTGCATCCCCATTTTGACAATCGTTCAAGCATGCCAAAAGATCATCGCTACAGCTTGTTGAGCAGATTTCACCGAGATCAAGGTCCGTGCAAGTTTCGTTGAGCTTCGGAAGCTGGTCGAAAAAACTTTCTCTTGCGAAATTATCAAAAACGGGAAGAACCATTTTTTGCATTTTCTGAGGCGATTTCAAGCGATTCAATGCGGCAGCTGATTATTTCTCAGAATAAAAAAGAGACTTCAGTGAAATTTTAAACATTTATTTACTTATTCTTTGTTCAACTGAGGCAGGACAGTAGCAGGCTTCTTTTATTTCGAGCCTGTTAAAATTTATTAAGAATTTATGTACAGTTTTGTTTGATTGTTTTTTATTTATATATACCGTATATAATATACGTCCTTGGCTATCGTTTTTTGTTTTTTTTTTGTCTGGGCGTTTTGTCGTTGAGTAGCTACAGTATTTTCCGGATTGGACTATTTCGATTGATGATTTTTTGAGGATTTTTGGAGTTTCTTTTTGAACAAATCAGGTCTTTTTTAACTTAGATTTGAGGCATCAAGGCAATTCCATATTTTCGTTTATCAGGAATCAGTTTTGGTTAAGTTGAAAATAAATTTGTTGAACTTCTACTTGTATTGCGTTTTTGAGTGGACTTCTCAGCAGTTCTTCAGCTCTCGGTTGTGCGCTTCGATGGATTTTAAATTACTGTCGAAAAGATCGCGCCATTTTAGCGAGTTTGAATGGCGGTCGATTTTGAATTTTCTTCGCGAACCATGTCTAAATGGGAGTTTAGCCTTCCCATAAACGATTTTCCATTTTCTTATGTAAAATATGTCCTTGTTCTATGTAAAATGAGTCCGTTTTACTTGATAATACCCGGTCCGATCACATGCACTCACGGGCAAGGGGCGAGCATGGGAGGGGAGGGCGGGCGAAATCACGCACCAATCTTGCGGAAAGGTTTTTTTCCTCGAAACATATATAGATTATTTTTACTAACCAAAACTTGTTATCGAGCCATATATTATTCTTGTCCAAAACATACCAATTCTTTTCAAAATAAGTACTCCAATCGTCATCGAAATGATTGCGACAGTGAACATAGTGTTGTAAAATTTCAGCGCTTCATTGCAGAGAGACTTGTTGGGACTCCAAATATCGTCCGTTCTATTTGAACATATTGTCGAGTAAAAAATTCCCTGTGATTTAAGCTCATCTTCAATAAATGAAAATCCAAAAATAACACCTAAAAAAAAGATTTTAATTTTTTATTTAACTTCCCGATAAACAGGCGCCCGACGAAGCGCTCAAAAACAGGGTTGGGAGAGAGGGCCACCATGCATTTTCAGCCCCGCGCGCAGTGCGAGTAAAAGCTTGAAAGGCTTTAAGCTCTTATTTGCATAAGTTATAAAGTCTAAACGGTTATGCTGCATTTATAATTTGTTAGGGCTTTCAACTTGAAAAGCAAATTTCTAATTTGAATTGGAAATGGATTGGTAATTGGCTGGATTGGAAAAAATGCGATTGGATTGGATTGTCAGTTGGTTCGATTGACCAAAAATTTTTTTCCAATTGTGCAACCATGATCCTTATTTTTACGAGCAATTATTCAGCTCCTAATTGATGAAAAAATCATTTAAATTTGTTCAATTAAACATTTTATGAATCATTATTAAGGACCCACCCGTCAAGATTTTAAATATCGAAATTTAAAATTTTGACCTCGGATTCGGATTCCCTGTGCCGAAAAACCATTTTTTCGCGCCATTTAATATCCGCCTATCTCCACTCTATCACCCTTAATAATCGAGTCAAAGTTTAAGAATTTGTAAGGGTGGTGCGACGCGCTTGGAAGCAAGTTTTTCACATAAAACATAAAAATCACGTTTTTTTATTTATTTCATAAACGGAAAGTATTTTTTATCAGAAAATTTGTTGTAACAATTATTCATAGTGCACAATTAAAGAATTTTTCGCTGTTTTTATCAATTCTATATTAAAAAGAAAAAATCACTTTCGAGTGAACCCTTTACCATATCTTTATTTTTTTTCTGGTGCCCACGACATCAACCTGAGCTATATTTTGAGTCGTTAAAAATTTTTGATACTTAAGGTTATCCTAGAAATATCGATGTTTGAAACTTGAACGTATTGTTGCGACACCCTTAAGAAGTGCACAAGCGTGCTTTTACTTCTGGTGCCCTAGACCAACTATCGGGCTACACAATCATCTCGAAATCACTTTTTGAAAAAGTTATTCCCACATTACGGAGGGGTCCTTAATGATAAAAATCGAGCAAAAGAGTTAAAGCATTTACCGCAAATTTTTCAACTATTGAGCCCTTCATCTTGGTGTTCCGTATCAAAGACTCCGAATGTTAAAATATTAATAAAATAAATTTAACAAACTATGAATAGAGATAATTACCTCCAAAAAGCATAATTTCAATCATCACTGATACAAACCAGATCAATTGTTTCATCATTTTAAGAAGAAAAATCTCCTTTCTCGTGTAATAAAAAAGGAAATCTCAATAATTCTATCCGTTTTTAATAAGCATTCAGCGTCGTTTAGGAAAGAAAGTCTGAATCAGAAGAGTCGGATTTTACGATTTTTTGATAACGACCATGAGAAATATCGCCCTGTTTATTATCAAAAAATGAGCAAGAATGTTTTAGCAACCGAAGTGATTTATAACAATTCAAAATATGAATAAACTCGGAGGCGCTATACATGAGAGTCATGATCATGCGAAATAATAAGATATATAAAGAAGAACTCAAACCAAATTTTGCTAACATCTTTCTTAATCAAAAGATGTCCGACTCAAATCGAGATGTTGCGAACGCTTATAGAAATATCCTCAGAAATATCGGAGAAAATCCAGATCGAGAAGGATTGGTAAAAACACCAGCAAGAGCCGCAAAAGCGATGGAATTTTTCACCAAGGGGTACAAAGAAGACATAAACGATATTTTGAATGAGGCGATTTTCACGGAAAAAAGTGAAGAAATGGTGATCGTCCGGGGGGAACGCTACTCTAAATTACCAATTGGTAATGCATCGCCAATTTGGATAATTCATTACCAATTTTAGGTAATGCATTACCAAACTTTTCGAAAATGGCCAATTTTGTCAAGTCAAAGAGCCAGTTCGCGCTCCGCGCCTGTTCGAAAGAATACTTTTGAGATTTATTTACAGTTTGTTTCCATTTTTCCGGAGTCCATTTTCCGGACACTTTTCCGATTATAAAGCATTTAAGTGGGGCACTGCAGAATTGACCTTGGTTCAATTTTCCGGACATTTTTCAAATTATATTTACAGACCATCATTTTTCTAATAAAAAATGATCACTTGACGGTTCAATGTACTTCTTTTTGGGCACTTAGTGAGCAAATTTGCGAGGTTTTTAGCTAGAAGTTTACTTCGCGGTAAATCGACTTCTTGACTGAGAAGTGTCCGTTTCTCGAAAAAATTTAAGTATACTTGGTGGGACATGCATTTTTATTCAGGGTACCCAATTTTCCGGACATTTTTTGGAAATCTGGGGACAAAGCTAGTCCGGAAAAATGGAATCATACTGTACGTATTTTTAAGCAAAAAAATTGAAATTATTGAAAAAAAATTGGTACCAATTTTTGGTAATGCAGTACCGAAAATCTTTGGTAATTTAGACGAGCGCCCCCGTCGTCCGGGACATTCGACTCTACAGTCTATGTGAACATCATCTTGTTCCGTTTTACGGAAAGGCGTATGTAGGGTACATTCCGAATGGAAAGATTATTGGTCTGAGGTTAGCCATTTATATGTATGTATTCTCATTTTTGTCATTTAAGCAAAATTGCAAGAATCGTTGACCATTTCGCGCGAAGACTCCAAGTCCAGGAGCGGCTAACTCGTCAGATAGCCGAGACTTTGGAGAAACAACTTTCTGCTACTGGTGTTGCAGTTATGATCGAGTGCGAGTAAATATCGAATATGAGTTTTAACAGCGAGTTAAACCGCGTTCGAAATTGATTTTGAAGCATGCGTTTTGCAAAATTTCTTTTATTGCGGACATCTTTTAACCGATATTATAAGG